AGGCTACATAAACCCACAAAAATGTTCGGCCCAAAAGTATGCACGGGCCTGGGCCTGCCCGGATGCCCCGGAAGTGTTGGAAATTGATCAGCAAAGAATGGCCTATTGGGCATAGCTAGGCCTCTCTCTTTTTTTAAATCAATATTTCTCTTCAAAATAATTTTATTTGACGCTTGAATCCTTCAAAACATTGAGAAATAACAAAACAAACTAAAAGAAAAAGGAAATTATCACAAATATACTTTAATTTTTTCTATATAGAAAAAACCCTCAACTTTCATAAACCTCACCCACACAATTGTTTTTCAATTTTATGCATTTGTTGACCAAAATAACATTTACGGTAGTTGTATTACCTTGAAGTATCATTACGATACTTTAAGTATCATAAAAACTAACACATGTTATACGATATTTTATATATCATAAGGAGTTGAAGTATTATTATGATATTTGGAATGCCATAATAGTATTTCACCACCATACCCGAAACCCTTTTCTCTTTTACTGTTTTAATATTTATCTCTTCTTTCTCTCTCTCTGAACCGTCGAAGAGAGAAAGATTTAGAGAGAAATCTTTGTAAGATTAAAAGGTGATCTAAGTGATTGATATGAACACGAAAAACTCAGAGAACTATTAGCCAAAAATACTGGAAAAATCAAGAGAGAAAGCTCATTAAAACAATATTAAATTGTGCAGGGATGAAACGTTAAACCACATGGATCAAATGAGATTTATAATACTTCAAGAAAAAAAAATCTAATCATCAAATGGGAAATGAATGTTGCTGTAATTGAAAATTCACAGCAAATTGAAAGGAATCAAATGAATGGAAATTGAAACACCTTACTCAATTGTTAAAAACTTGAAGATTAGATCATCCTTGGCTTGAGCTTTGAGTTTTGAGTTTTGAGCTTTGAGCTTTGAATCACTGTTAATGGAATAGTATGAGAACTTGAATGAGCTCTTCTGTCTCATAACATGAAGAAACCCTTTTTTAGGGAGAGGAAGAAGAAGATGGCTTTTGGGCATACCAACTATAGAGAGAGACGTGCCACTTTTGGAGGGAAGGTTTATCATGTGATCTCATGTGTGAGAAAATTGACTCAAGGGGGTATTTATAGTTTTTAAAGCCGCTAGTTCGGATATGCTTTTAGATGATGAATCATGTCTTCATGCCATCCACCAAAGGCTATAAAAAGATGCATGATCCTAGCCCACCATTCATCATTATGCCATCAATATATGTGGTATGAATTTAAATAGCTTTATTCTTCTTAAATTTACTTCAATTTCCCTTGTTATAAAAAAGTCCATGCTCTTCACATTTAATAAACCTTAATACTAAGATTGAGGGTATGCCCTTTAGGTCATTTAACAAATTTTTTAGCAAAAGCAAACCTTTGACAATCCACTCCTTTAAAAAGCATGTGGGTCTAATGAAAACATGCCATGTAAGCTAAGTGGTATACATTATTACCATATGTCCTTAGGGTTAAGCTTGTTATTACAAATCCTAAACCCTATTTAGAATTTTCCACACACATGTGCACAAACCACTTGCTTCAGCTATTTAACGTATGCTAAAACTAATTTCTCAAAATCCAATATTTTGGAACTATCAAATTATAACTATACATAACAATAAATCAAAGGATATGTGGGTCCCCATGAGGGGATGATTTTCATCCAATTTAAAAATCGTAAGATGTCTGACCTTATGTAGGCCTATTCCTAATAGATTGACCCCAAAATAGCATATCCAAATGATAAGTCGACCTTGATCCCTTGAATTTGAGGGGGTGGTTTTCTGATTGAAAATCTAGAATTGACAGTCTCCCTGGTTTCGGGAGTGAGATTGATGCGCATCGCATCCCCTCGCACTAATAGGTCTTTCACATAGGGAGAATTTTCTTGCGCTAATAAGACGGATAAATGTAGGGCAGGGCATCCGCGTCTATCGGTGCTACGATTTGGTTTTTATGTGCCTAAATCACCAGCACCCTCAATTGTACAAGTGCTGGCACCTATTTTGCATAAGAACGCAAGGGGGATATCTTGTGTGGATCTTGGGAGTCTATCCTTGATTGTTATTACTTCAAAACAGTTTTGGAAAAAATATTTTCTTGTTCAAAAAATTTCAAAAAAATTCCCATAAATCTATAAAAATCATTTTAATAATTTTTCATCAAAACAAATCATTTTGGCATTGATTAAAAACATTTATAAAAGAAATTCAGATCTTCGGAGTTGAATTACAAATTAGAGCACTCCACTTGGCCAACCCCAGAATCCTAAGCCACATTCTCAGAATGAGCCAATAGATTCATGATCCACAATATCTAATTTGGGGGCTCATGATCTTATCATATCAAAGTCAAACCAATGTGTGACTCTGAATCCATAGGTTTAAGTGGATTTTAGGTGTATTCCCTAATGGACATGCATACACAAGGTGGGGGGGGTTCCTCTCTTCTCATATGAGTATAGCTCTATCTAGTGGATCCCTAGAAGAGCGGTTTCCCATGTATTGCAATTATATATGTACATGCCATGAGAAGTTTTGTAGTAGTCAAGGATTTAGGCTAGTGCCATCTATCGGCCCTGACTGTCCCGTATAAGACTTTTAGTCATCAAGCTCATACATAAAATGTATTGTCCTAGCCCATCACTCAATCATGAAGTACAAACACAACTACCGACCATGACTTAGAGGTATCCCTCAACTCTCTCAGTATCTCCCATACTTAAAATCTTCTTCCTGACTTAATCGAAGTTCTATCACTCTTGGTCCTAGTGCGTCAAGATCTAAGAGTCATGTCATTTTCATACTCCCATTGAAGCCAAATGCCATTTAAAAATATCGGAAATTAACGCCTTGAAAAGACATAATTATGATACAAACGCATATAGACTTATGATTTTTTCCTTTTCTTGGGGTTTGTTACTCCTGAAGTTACTACTAAGATACCCTTGAAATTACTAGCAGATAGAGTTTTAAACGATGTTATGGGGTTATGATGACCATATGGGATACGAAAACCGGTCATAAGAAAAGTGGAGTATTTAGAATTTTGAGGGGAATACCCCAAAAAATGGAAAAAAAAACTATTGATTGCATAGCTCGAAGATCTTAGCACAATCAATCTTCACCAAAACTATTGAAGAAAAAATATCATATGAGCCATATGGTCAAAGTCATAAGCATGATCATGTAGTTCATCATCGTGAAATCGAGTTCAATGATTATTAAGGGGAACGTATTCGTCATACAATAAATTAATCGAATTTGACATCCTATTATCTTTCCATTATCACTAATGGTATAAAACCTCATTTGCTTGTGGTTATAAACATAAATATCCCTTGAACAAAACCCAATTTAGGAGTATTTCATATGCTCCTAAATTTTGGGGATGTAACCCTTTCATCCTAGTGACTAATCTTTAAAGAACAAAAAATTTGAATGATATCGAAGTTCTTGAATATTATACAATCAAGTGTTTAAGAAATCAAAATCACACTTTATTTTTCTAAACAAGATTATTTGGCGATTTTTCTATGGATATTAGGAAAATGGTTTGATAGGGTTGAGGCTTTATTTTGTTTTAATAAAACCTAGGCTTTATAGAAACTTCTATCCATTAAATTAAAGAAACTTGGTGCATGCGGGATCACATTTCTACAATATGTGGCCCAAAGGTATAAAGCATTCATCTTAAAGATGGATGCAAATATATGGTCCTTCTAAAAACAATTGTAACTAACGGTCCAAATGTTTTTTTCATATAATTATTATTTATTTTTCAATTTTATTTTAATTTCATATTCATGATCTCTATGTCAAAGATTATATATTCTCTAAAAATTAAAATCAAATTATATTTAGAAAATATGTTTATTGCCAAGCCCGCAGTTTTTACAACAAGCGGGTTGACCCCATAGAAACCATACCCTTAAATTACAGGAAAATTGTTTCTGAATATGCAGTGTAGAAAGTGTAAAGTATTCATCGGGATGCTAGTAGGTGTTCCATCTAAAAATAATAGAAACTAACGGTCTAAATGTTTTTTTATTAGAATTAGTATTTTTAATTTTTAAAATTTATTTATTTTTTCATATTGATGATCTCCATATTAGCGATTACGTATTCTCAAAAATTAAGTATAAAAATTTATCTCAAAAATAGATCTATTAAGAAGCCCGCATTTCTACATATGCGGGCTTTGCCGCATACAAACCGGGTCCTAAATTAAACTCGAAGAGTATATATAAAAAAATCTTCCCAAGTGTATGCTCCCGCGGGAGAATATTGTATGCCCTTATTCTTTCTGGTTACTAAATTCGTAGCCGTCCGATCGCGAACAATCTGGCTTGCCTCATTCCTTAATTGAGGGTATTCCCGCAATTCGTTAAGAACGTCAAGGTATTCAGGTAATTTATTGAGAGCACCAGGGCTTTTGAGAATTAGGGTTTGGCGCATCGGAAAGAGTCCAGGGCATCCTGAAATATACGATTGAGCTGAGAACCAGGGTTTCTCGTCTTTTCTCTTCTGATCCGTACAAGCAGAGGGAGAGAGAGGCCATGGCTGAAGTCGCACCACCAGAAGTAAAGCTCTTCAACAGGTGGTCTTTCGAGGAAGTCGAGGTCTGCTCACCCTTTTACCTTTTTAAGGCCCTCTTATTTGTTTCCATTTCATCTTCTCTCTCTAGATTTTTGGATTCTATCATTCGTCTGAGTGAGTTTTCCGTTTTGTGTATGCCATAGCCTCTGTATGTTCCAGCTCTTACAGGGTCTCTGGCTTTCAGAAACCCTTGAGCTTTTGAGCAGTTGACATAATGTATTTCATACAGCAAGCTGTTTATATTATGATGCGAGCTTTTATTGGAGTTTGACCCAATTATAACTTCATGATGGATAGTTATGGTATTAGGTTTGCTGCACTATGATTTGGGTTATTGAAGAGTGGTACTGAATTCAATAACTGTGCAACTCATTGATGATTGGATTAATGTACTTTCATTTGCATGGCTTTTAATGTGAATTCGTTTTCAACTCTGAATATCAGTGTTTTGGATCTGCTAAGTTTTAATTTGGTTGCATGCGATCCTGAACTATGGGGTTTGTTTTCTACTTTTGTTTTGCTTTTACCGGTAACAGTTGATGGTATGTATTGGGGTAGTGGAAGGATTGAAGCTAGGTTTAGCTAGCTCTGTGTCGTGCATGATGGATATTTACTGTGTTGGATGATGTACTTTTTTGTTTTGTTTTGTTTTTTTCTCTTTTATCATAAGAAAATATTATTGTGCATAATGACTTCTCAGTGGGGGCTAATATTTGGGTTTACATGCTCTCTCAGTTTCCTCTTTCTCAATTTTTGTTTGAAAAAGCATTTAACACTAAATCAATAATAACCAGTCAGAGTTTCCTCTGATTATTCTGGGTTGAAAATCTGTTACACCGAAAGGAATATCAATGCTTGGTAGTCTGTGAAAGTTGCATGCAGTGGTGGTCATGAGACTTTTTGAGGCTCACATCTTTTATTCGAGGAGTAAGAAATATACGAAGGAAGAAGGTGTTGTTTGGGGAGTTTCTGGTATCTGAAGGTTTATGTGTCCTTCAGAAAGGCAGGTTCATATAATAGGTAAATGATTGCTGAAAGACTGGACTAGAGCAAAAATTGCCTTTTCATATTAATGTGAGTGCTGCTGTGTTTGTTTCTCATGAAGGGTTTCCATCTGCGCTCAAACATATTTTTTGGGATAACTACCCTGTTCAAGGTGTTTCCCCTAGTGGACATTGACATTTAAGGCCTATTTTGATTGTAAACCTTATTTGTTTTCTGTTTTTTCCTATAAGGAATTCTCTATGCAATAAAATGGAACATTTGTCTTTTTTAGTTAATTCTTGATAGACATAACAACTGTAATTTTGATTGAGAGAAGATTGTTTTGTACTTTTTTTTATGATTCCTGATTGTTTTTGCGATTCTTGATTGTTAACAATTTATTAGTGTAATAGGTAGATTTGAGAAAGAGTGATTTTTTTCCCTTTTGATGTTCTAAAGAAGGACCGTATTTATCTTTTAATATTTTTGGAGTTTGCGGTTTTCGAAAATCATCACAAAATTACTATGTTTCGGTGTTAAATTTTTTGACTTTATCAATCCATCATGACTTTGAATTCAGTTTCCTTGTTCTGAGAAGAGCTTTTCTGTGGTAGTAATTTGTTCAATGTGATACAAATTATAAATGCCCACTTCTTTAATTTTTCCCCTTTCTAAACTAAACTAAGTGAGACCTGGTTGTGCAGGGTTTTATTTCCTCAATACTATAAGAGCAAGGATAGTGTTTCTTCATAAACTTTTAAGAAATATTTGTTTCCCCTTCTTAGAACTCTGTAACATCTGTTTGTTTTGACATGTTTCCCCATTCCCCATATTGTTGACATGCTTGTAGTTTTACCCTACCAACATATCTGTTGTTTGCTTCTCTTAATTTTCTTAGTTTTTGTATGTCGTATGTTTTTTGTGTCTCGGAATGCGTTAAACGGCTTATATTTGTTTCTCCTCTTTGTGAATGCGTTTTTTTATTGATAATTCGTATCTCCTAGTGTTTAAACTTTCTTAAATTATTTGTTATCTTGTTTCCAAGTTTGGTGGTTGTTTGGAAACTATGATACTTTTCTTTTTAGTGTTTCTTTGGCCATTTGTTTGCTAATTTTGTGCATGCTTTTGGGCAATTGCTATCGTGTATTATGCTTTAGGTTTCGTCTATATACCTTTATATGACGCTTGTGTCCTTGTACCTTTTTTTTTCCTACAAACTCATGAGGAGTCCTTGAGGCATGGCCATGTTTTCTATCTCCTAGACATTTTTATTCAAGAAGTGCGTAGCAATGTCTAAAAAATCGCCTATCTTACTTGGGACTCACTTAAGTACGCTTTACCGCGACGATTCTCAAGTAAAAAACTAGGGACTTGCCCCAATCTCATCTTATGTATGTATATATGTGGTATGTATTTACATACATTTGTCCATATGTATATATGTATTGTTAATTTTTACCGACTCAGTGTCTTGTTGTTCTTAATTTTAACCAACTTAAAGCATTGTTGTATGTATGCATTGTTAATTTTTACAAACTTAGAGTCTTGTTTCAACTCAGCCAAGCAAACCGGGTGAGTTGGGCTTGGGACCCTGGTGAGTCAAAGCTTGAGTCCTTGCTCAGAAACACTGACACATATTAATGAGCTTCTTTGAGGGACACTTGCTAGCTTTGAGTTAACTAATTTGTTGGCGCATCAACATTTCTGATCTACCTCCAAAGAAAAGACAATTTTGAGTTGTATTACTATGATGTATTGTTGGACTTCCAGTATGTTATTGTATTTCACTTGCTTTTCATGCCATCAATTTGTATATATGCATTGTTTACAGTTGTTGCATAATTTGCATGGCACTGCCATATTTTCATGTGCAATTACCACTTCGTACAATATACCTATTTTCCTAAATGTATGCATGCTGTGTATGTATTCACAGCATACAATTCATTCTTAAACTGCCTTTTGTTATAAGTTTTGTCCTGATGGCTCATCTACGTAATAGTATGTAAAGCTTGGTGTATATGTATGTCAGTGTTTCAAAAAGTGCTAGGTGGGTCCTAGGCGGCTTGGGCAGACGGGCGCCCAGGTGGGCGGCCCAGTTGAATCCAAAAAGGATTCTACAGTTATATATTGTATGTAATATAAGAATTAGGTATTTAGGGCACATCAAAATTCGAAGTATACTATACATTAGCACACGCTCCTTAAGCATAACCATAAGTCGGTCCATAATCGATATCCAATTAAAACTTAAAATTTACCAACCAACCAAATTACCAAACCAAAGTTACCAATAGTACCAAACTAGTGGAACTACAAATCCACTATCCACAAATCACATTACAGTATTACACCACCATAAGGAAGAAAATAAAAATGAAAGTAATACTTGAAGACTCAAAAGAATATTCAATAGACAATAGTTCAATCAAAGTTTAATAATTATTCAACATTCATCATTCATTATCATAAAACTTAGGGTCAGCTGCATTGGTATCATATTCATCACCCTCCACATATTGGTCGTCCTCCTCCGTCTCTTCTGAATCTGCCTTTTCTTCCTCCGCTTCCTCCTCCACTCTCGTTTTCTGTGCAGAAGATCTAGTGGCCCTAAGACGATTAATTGATATCGCTGAAACATCCATGACCATGTCCCATGTCAATCTTTCATGCCCCTCGACCTCCTCATCATCAACTAACCACTCCATAATGGTCTATATTTTTTGATCTGATGGGTTCTCTCTTAGCAACATGTCATTCAAGAATCGATTATACTTGACATAGACTAGGTCATTGAGCCTCTTTGATTCAAGCTTGTTCATTCTCTTTGTATGAATCTAACAAAATCAAATGAAACTAATTAAAATGTATGGTTCATATATTATTAATACAATTATACAAATTACCCTTACGGCCTTACCCCTTCAAAAGTATTCCAATTGCGCTCACAACCGGATAAGGAAGTGGTTAGGTTTAAGATCCGAATGGCCAACTTTTGTAAATTTGAAGAACTACACCCATGTTGGCTCAACCTATTGGCTGCAAAGATATAGAATAAAATCATAAATAAATAATAGAATTATAAAAATGAGGTTTGATTACTTGAACTTGATGAACTTAAGAATATTATTACTACTTGGATCAATTTTGGTCATTTGCCTCATCGCCATTGGACTCCCAAAAGACTTTAATGAGCACTTGTAATTTACTAGCTCATCAGTGCATATAATATCCTGGATATCAAGATCAGGGACTAGCACATCTACACACTTATTAAATCTAGTCATAATTGTGTCATTTGTGTGTATATCCTTGTCAACATAAAAAAAGCTAGGTTCAAATAGTAACCAGCTACATGCCTTGGCTGATGTAGCTGCCTATCCCACTTCTCATCAATAATCTCCCAAACAGGCTTGTAGCAGTTCTCATCATCATCAAAATTTTGGGCTATCTCTCTTTTGCATTTCTCCATAGCCTCATATATATAGCCCATAGAAGGCTTGTCACTATCAACTATGCGAAAGACTTTGACAAGAGGAAAAAATACCGTAGGAGCGCCCTTCACCCCTTGTTAAAATGCCTTAGAAAGGATAATATCTCTCACCTTTTTTCCAACTTGATCCTTGGACCACTTGCGTGCTCTCCAGTCATTTGAGGCAAACATTTGCCTCAACTGCACTCTCCTTGAATGTAGGCTATCTTGGCATAAGTACCAGGTAGCAAATCTTGTGACTCTAGGCCTTACAATCTCTTTCTTCTTTGTAAATCTACGCATCATGCTGAGGGTGAGATGGTGGCCATAAATGAAATTTGTAATTGACTTTGCCTTCTTCACTGCATTGATATCTTTGTTAAACCGTCAAGAGCCTCAAGCATGAGGTCTATACAATGTGCTGCACAGGGTGTCCAAAAGATTCTAGGATAAGCTATACACAACAAATTAGTTCCAGCAAAATTAGGAGCAGCAATGTCTGTGACAACTTGTACAACATGATGTTCCCCAACCTCCTTGATTACCTTCTCCAAAACTTGGAATATGTAATGGGCATCATGGATAAGATCAAAGGCATCAATAGAACTCAAAAAAGCAGTCCCTAGAGGACAATTCACATGCAAAGTCATCTGACTTCTTCTCTTCCTATCACTCCAAGCGTCAGTCATAATAGATACCCCATATTGAGCCCATGCATCCTTAACTTCTACAGCTTCCTTCGTGACTTTAACCGCCTTTTGCAAAAGAGGCTTTGAAAGCTCATATGGGGTTGGGGGTTTCATCCCACGCCCAAATTGGTCAATTGCCTCTACTGCAACATAGATGTTGCTGAAGCGAGCGGTATTGAAAAGAATGCTCGCCTCATAAAACCATGTAGCAAGATAATAAGCAGCTCTATCTTCTCTCTTCCTTCTTCATTCTATTTTTAATGGTGGTTTGCTTCTTTGTTTTCTCTCTTGCAACCTCAGGGTCAAACCGAAGCAAAAAACTATCCATAGGGTCTCTAACTCGAGACTTCTTACTCCAAGAACCAGAACCAGAACCAGAAGCAATTACAAGTCCCTTTCCCTTTTCCCTAATAATGGATTGTTCTACTTCTACCTCTTGACATCCTTCCCCAATCCCATCCTCATCACTATCATCATCATCATAATTGACCCGAACCCAGACCTAATCTCTGTTATGGAGGCAAATCTCTCGTCTTTTTTCATTTTTACCTTATTCAAAACATTGGTTATTTTCTCTTTAACAACATCAGGAGTTTTTTTAGCTGGGGTAACATCCTCTTGATACCGGCAAGATGTTTCTTGAACCGGTTTATGCCCTCTTTTGTATCATTCTCACAAAAATTCTATCTTATGCAATTTTTGTCATTAGGATATGGGTTGTAGTCATATTTCCAACTGGGATCACCACTCCTATTAGATCCCGAAGAAGACATCTCAAAATAATGCAATTTATACAAACAATAAAAAAAATCACTTTGAGTTTGATTGCTCAATCTCTAAACTTTTACTTCAAAGTTGCTTCTAAAAACTCAAAATCTTTCCAAAAAAACCTCCCAATAGATTTATAAAACATCAAAAAATTAAATCTAATATCAATGGGTGATGTTTTAATCAATTTCTCATAACTTTGAAAAACCCTTTGATCCTAAATAAATCATCAAAAAACTAGTTTTTTGGGGGGCTTTCTCTCTCTAAAATGTGTTCCAATAAGTTTTAGGTTTCAAATGGACCTAAAACCGCCCCCATCAAAAGCAATTTCCACTGCTGGGCGGTCCGCTTTTTGGAACACTGATGTATGTGTGTTGCACTATTCTTTATAGTGATGATACATGGATAGTAAAAAATTGAAATAAAAAAGGAGATATATAAGATATGATTTTCCTTAATTTTGTGTGGATTAAATTTATGTTTAATATAAGTATGATTCTTTCATTTGGTCTCACTGAAGCTATGGCCTTTGATAGAGCAGAATGGCGGACCAGAATTCTTGTAGCCGACCCCAAATAGTTGGGAAAAGTCTCTAATGATGATGATGATGATGATTTTTTCATTTCTTACTCCTTATGAACACCCAATTGTAATCCCTACTTTACTCTTCTCGAGAGTTTCAAAATTTACTAGCTTCCTATACAAAAGGGATACATATATGTACTTGATCCCCATTCCCCACCTAAGGGTGTGTTTGCCCCCTCTTTCACAAAGTATGGAAGCCAAAAAGGGTGGCTTCCATTAAACAACATCAAAATACATTGTTTTTGCATGCTCGTGGAAGCTGCGAGTTCCATCTTGCGGGTTCCACCAGTGTGCAACAAAGATGGGAGTTCCGTTTGGTGGAACGTGGGTCTCCTCCGACGCAGAAGTTCCACCAAAACAATCATACCCAAAAAGAATTGGATTGAGTCTCTTACACGAATCTTTGGCTTTCAACCCATCGTGAAGATCGTGCATCTATGAATCCTGTTCCATTTATCTCCAAAGAAAATTTATCAATCCCGTACACATTCATCTCCGAATGAAACATACTTCAAATTGATATGGAAGAAATGTCCTTTTAAATTATCTATGGGAATTACCATCTTATGATGGCATTAAAAACATACCTTCCTTTTTTCCTTTGAGGGAATTTTCCTTTGGTCTTGGTGTGTATCCTGCATCACATGGGCGGCCTTCTAGTGCAAACATAATCTTGTTTGTCAAGAGATATGTTATCATGAGCCTTCATTACGAAGCATACATGGAATTTGTGGTATATGCATATCCAGTGAAAGGCTTTCTTGAAGTTCCGTGTAATGGTGTGCATATCTATTTAGTTTCTTTTTTGTTAAAAATTTGGTAGGCCATTTATAGCTTTAAAAAAAAACTGAATGGTGATATCTTTATTGTGGGTGTTAGATGTTCTCGTGTATATAAGAAGTTAATTTTAAGGCAATCATGTTTGATTTAACTTCTGCTTTTATTATGAGCTTATTTTGTTCATTGTTTGAAGTTCTGAACAGTTACAACTCTTTGAGTTTGAAGGAGTGAACTATCTGTCCAGTGTTATTTGAATCCTTTCAACCTATATTCAACAACATTTTGATGCATATTTTCCTAATAACATGGAAAGTCCTATACTTCATTTTTCTCGTTAAATGTGAAAACATTTATCGTTGCTATGTTACATGGTTTCTTCTGTTTGGGTGGCTCACCCTTGTTGGACACATATTAACTCACATACTGACATGCATTATTCGTCTCGTTGATTAACCATTGGTTGCACCATTGTAGAGGCTTGCTCTTCTATTTGTTTTTAGTCGAAACATGTGAACTTTGAAAATGTCATTGCAACTCTGAAAATATTAATGGATCCTTGCTATTTCTTGTTACTTATCTTGAACAGAATATTTGTGAAACACAACTCGAGCGAGTAGATTTGGACTTGCTTGAGTAACTCCGGCTCAACATAGTGCCTTGTCCGAGTTCCCACTAAACTCGGAAGTATATAAGAATCACTTATTTTAGTTCCAGTGTTTGCAAATAATCAATTTGGTTTTATGCTAGGGAAGTCAACAACTGAGGCTGTTTTCCTACTTAGGCAACTGATTGAGAAGTTTAGGATGAAGAGGAAAGACCTTCACATGGTCTTTATTGATCTAGAAAAAGCTTGTGATAGAGTACCTTAAGATTTCATTTGGTAGGTGTTAGAAAAGAAAGGAGTCACTAGATACTATATTGACTTGGTGAGAGATATGTACGATGGAACGCTAAGTAGTGTACGAACAAGTAGTGGAGAGACGAGTGAGTTTTCAGTAACAATAAATCTACATCAGGGGTTGGCATTGAGGCCATACTTCTTTGTCTTAGTTATAGACGACTTAACTAGGCTCCTACAAGATGAGGTATTGTGGTGCATGTTGTTTGCAGATGACATTAGGCGGGCTAAGATAGAGTGTATGGAATGCAAGTTTAGTAATAATAGGAGTAGAGACGAAGAAGTAGTTAATATTGACGGCCAGGAAATACCAAAAAGAGCAAGCTTCTGATATCTTGGGTTGATAATCCAATAAAATGGAAAGATTGAGGAAGATGTTACACATAGAACTAGAGCTGGTGGGCGAAGTGGAGATGTGCAACTGAAATTTTATGTGATCGCTACATACCAATGAAATTGATATCGACTTTGCTATACGGGGTGGAATGTTGAGCGGTCAAAAGGCAACACTCATAAAATAAGTGTAGTGGAGATGAGGATGTTGAGATGGATGAGTGGCAAGACAGGAAGGGATAGACTTCGAAATGAATACACATGGTCAACCCAGTACAACATCTGTTAGGAGGTGCGAGTTAGTTAAAGTGGGAGGCTCAGAATATGCAAGGGGTAGGCTCAAAAGGACATGGTTGGAAGTAGTGAGAAAATATATGGGGACTTATGGCCTCATTTAAGGGTATGACCGTTAAATAGAGGAGAATGACGGACTGGGATTTTTGTAGCCGATCCCAATGTATTGGGAAAAAGCTTTGATGATGATGATGATGACGACTTATAATTAGTTCCAATGTATTTATAATTCATTTAATCTATTATATAATTGACTTATAATTAGTTTTATACATGGTTTTTAGGAAGGTAGAGCACTACTTGTAGAAGTAAGGTTGCAGTAACTACACTGTCTATTTTAGTTGGACAATATAGATTTGGCACGTTTTTTAAAACAATATATGATAAATTATGATAGTGTTTTAAAAGACATGTTAAACCTACACCGTCCAACTAAAATATAGACAGTTTAGTTATTGTAACTTTACTTCTACAAGTAAGTTGCAGATAATGAATTTTTTCCTTCTTTTATGGTTTTTATGTGTTCTGATTTTTTTATTTAAACTTTTTCTGCAAAAATGATCTTTAGTAAAAAAAAAATTTATTTATTGAAATATTTTTCTCAATTTTTGTTTGTATTTTCTGTTGTTTATGATTTTCTTGTTTCTTACTTTTTTTTGCTATTTTTAAGGATTTTTTCCTTTTTGGTGTTCTTTCGACTTTTTGGCTGGCACGCAGACTTGTGTTAGTTGAATTGGTCTTGCCCAAGTAACTTGCCAGGACAGGGGCCAAGGTCTGCAGCCAAGCTGAGTTGGATCCTTCATTGCTCCTATTGCGATCACTATTTAACACTTAATACTTGTTCGCGTACAACCAACTCTGATATTTGTCTTACCAAAAACTTTTATGCAGGTCAGTGACATTTCATTGGCAGATTATGTTGCTGTCTCTGCATCCAAGCATGCAACATATGTTCCTCATACGGCTGGGAGGTATTCGGTCAAGAGGTTCCGCAAGGCCCAGTGCCCCATTGTGGAAAGGCTGACAAATTCCCTCATGATGCACGGCCGAAACAATGGGAAGAAGTTGATGGCCGTCCGCATAGTCAAGCATTCCATGGAGATCATCCATCTACTCACCGACCAAAACCCTATTCAAGTCATTGTGGATGCTGTGATCAACAGGCAAGTGGATACCATTTGCATGCTTTGGTGTCCAATTTTTCATCTAAATGATCTCCCTCTGCCCCTCTCCTTATCTATCTTTTCCATTGATCGTCTCTTGCTTCTTATTTTTTCTGACATTTTCATTTTTGCAGTGGGCCAAGGGAGGATGCAACTAGGATTGGTTCAGCGGGAGTTGTGAGACGTCAAGCAGTGGATATCTCACCTCTTAGACGTGTGAACCAGGCAATCTATCTTCTCACGACTGGTGCTCGTGAGAGTGCTTTCAGGAACATCAAGACCATTGCGGAATGCCTTGCTGACGAGCTGATCAATGCGGCAAAGGGATCTTCAAACAGGTAATATTAATGTTTTCCATTACAAGTTTACGACATAGTTTTTGGTTTTTTCTTTTTGATCTTTTATATAAGAACCATTTCCTTGGGTGCTAGAATAAGATTTAAAACCACTGGGGTTATGGGTGAGTGATGATACCTTATAGGAGTTATTCAACAAGAAAGCATGGTAAAGGATCTCTAATCCAATTTCTTGATTGTCTAACTTTGCAGTTATGCGATAAAAAAGAAGGATGAAATCGAACGTGTTGCCAAGGCTAATCGTTGATCCACTTATGAACTACTGCAGGATTTGATTTGGTTTTCCATTAATCCAAAATGCTTGCCCATCTTGTTTCATGGACTTTTTATGTGATGTCCCTTTAGAAATTTTGCAGAATGATATCCTTAGGAATTGTGTGATTTTGGAGTTTAGATGTCTCATGAGGTTTGCCTAAATTGCCTTGAGTTGTTGCTTTCAGAAAATTTATTGACCTCTTTAAAGATGGTTAATTAATGTTAGATTGCATTAGTTTTGGAAACGAGGATTTTGTTTCCTGGTTTTCACCGTTATAAAAATTGTCACCTGGGTATGTATGCTATAGTTACAAGTTGCAAATGCATATTTCGTGATTTTATTTCACATGATATAACTACGAGGTGTTATTCTCCTATGATGATTTACTAGAGTAGTAGCTTGGACGTCACCTAGGCGAAAATAGGGAAGTCTTTCCTTCATTTTCGGTGCGTTTGGGGCACTTTTTTGTTTTTTCTTTCCTTTACTTGAATGATGGTTAAAACATTTGTTTGGGCCTGATCCTTTGAACTCCTGATCCTTGGATTTTGACATTGAGTGTTGTGGATTAATTCCATCTGGTAAATAAGTTTTTCCCATATTTAGCCCTCACTCGAGGGAAATGATCCTGTAAATGGGGATCATTGCCCTGAATTGTACGATTTTAATGCTTTTATATGCAACAATATAGCGAGTGTTTTGGAACCTGGTTTTCGAAAATCTATGCCGAAATGAATCCTCCGGTATTGGGAATGCATGCAATTTAATCGTTTGTCATTGTTCTAGAAAGAATCGAATCCGTCATGACCAGTGTTTTAAAAAACGTCGGAAATCGCAAAAAGTGGATCGTATCGGCTAAAAAATCGAAAATTGCCCGGTTCTAGAGAGAACCGGACCATTCTCTACAGTGACTCGTCGATTTACTGTATGGAATTGGCGAGTCCGAACAGTGAATCTGCGAGTTCCGTATGGTTTAAATTTTTTTTTTTTTTTTTTTTTTTTTTATTTTTTTTTTTT